CGGGGAGCCGGCTCTGCCCCGGGGGGCGCTGGGAGCGCGTTTAATACGCCCAGCCGCTAAGGGACGTGCGGGGCCTGGGACGAGAAGCGTGAGGCAAAGCTGCCAGATGCTCTGTGGAGAGCGAGCGAGCCTCGGGGAGCCTGTCTCCTCATCGGTCTGGCGGCTGAGAGGCTGAAATCGGTGGTCAGTAATACCAGCCTGTGGGTTATGTGTGATAATCTGCCTTTTCAGCAGGCACCAAGCCCTCGCCACCCCGAATAACTCCACCTTCTTCCCACTTGCCGCAGGAGGCTGTATGCCTTGTCAGTCCATCATCCCCAAGCGGATTCAGAACAGTTTGATCAGATCTGAGTCTTGTGGCAGCTGTGTTATGTCCTTGGTGCCGATGGATATTTTAGCAGTGTAGCAGCAACGAAGTGCTGTATTTTGCTGATGTTGCAACAGAATATAGAGAGCGGACAGCAACTTAGTAACAGGTCATTTGCTTTTTAAGCCTTGGAGATCTGTAATGAGAAGCCATGGTTATGGGAAAGTCTGATATTGTGAGAACTTCACTGTGTACAGCCCTGCCATGAAACTTACTGCTGCCTCATCTGCGAGGCATCACGGTGCAGCCAGGGTTCAAAATCTGTTTCTGAGAATCATTTGAAATTGTGATTAGCAGTCTCAAATGTAGCGTGTCTGTGATGATGAGATGTTGCTGCTCTGATGGTTTCTTACCTTTGGGCGAGGCAGGGTTCTTTGTTCTGATAACTTCTGAAGCTGCACAATAGGGATCCTTACTTGGCAGATACCCCTAGAATAACCCCTAGCGTATACCTGGCATTTGTCTTTCTGGTGCATTGGCCCTTTTCCCAGGAGGGCATTTGGCCTTCAGAACAATGCACCTGGCTTGCAGTTTACTCAGGTGCTCTTCTGAGGAGTTCCTGCGAAAAAGCCAGGGCAGGAGCAGAAAGTATGAAATGTTCTAAGGCAGCCCAGCTGCTTATTGCTCTCTGATATGGGGATTCCTCAGACAGGAACAGGGATTTGCCTACATACATCTACTATATACTGCAAGCATGGTCAGTGGTGCTTCTGGAAGTTTTGTATGCTACGTATGGTAGATCAACTGTACGGCACATGAATGGCGAATCTGACCCTTAAAGGAAATACTGCACCTGTGTCCCATAAAAAAAAGGGATGATGATAGCTTTTTCTTGTGCAAGCAAGGACTTTATGCTTTAATAGCCTGCTCTGATTCTGGCTTCTAAGTGTTCATCCATAAATTATCTGAACTGTAGGCATTTGCTTCCCTTCTCTTTTAGAAAGTAACATAACTTAAGGACTCATGAGTTATTAGACCAGAAGGAGAGCACAGGATTCTTTTCTGCATTTTTATCCTGCAACAGTTCCAATCCCAAGACCGAGACATTATCACTATGGTTTTATCTGTAAAATAGGTTATATGCTTTCAGTTGATCTACAAATGCCTCTCACAATAACTTGGATAAAACCTACTTTGTTCTGCAGATCAAGCTTACTGAAAAGAACATTAATAGTTTATGATTTTTTACCATAATACGAACTGATTATAGGTGTACCTTTATTAAATCTGTAAAGCTGTCTCTTCTGTTGCGTATGTGATTTTTGTGTTTGGTTTTGTTGTTTTTTTTTTTAAGGCAGCTAAGAACGGAGCAACGGGTGTTGAGCTGGATCTTGAATTTACTGCAGATGGTGTTCCCATTCTAATGCATGATGAAACAGTAGAAAGGACAACTGATGGGTCTGGAAGATTGTGTGACTTGACTTTTGATGAAATTAGGAGGCTTAATCCATCTGCAAAACATAGGCTATGGTAAATAAACTATTGCTATTCTGAAACTACTGTTTCAACAGTGAAAAAAACATTCTTGATAAACAAAATTATTGATTTAATCTATCACTGATGAAAATTTTTTGTAAATTTAAAACTTAGTCCCATATGTTACTTCTCATCTGTTTTAGAAGCATATGAGACTATATCTCTTTAGCCATCCTTGCAATAGGAACAGTGAAGCAGAGTCAAGATAATTGGCTTTCAAGGACAAAATCCACAGGCATCTAATGTGAAACAGGTTAATCTCTACATAAGCTTCCCCTAAATTGACTGCAGGACACTAAAGATACCGGGAGTTTCACTGTATGTCGAAATTGGCTTCAGTAATTACTTCTAAAACTAATTTTATTCACATATATTTCTTGACTGCTTGTGTGTTGGGGATTCTAAACATCAGGATTATACTGCGGAAAAGGAGCTAGGCAGATTTCCTGGGCAGTCTCAGGTCAGAGCTCTGCCCCCAGTGGCTGATTAGGTCCTTTCCAGTGGTATGCAGGGGAAAATATTTTTATATGTTACTAAAATTTTTATAGCAATGCAACTTCTACAGTATCATAAGTGGATCCACTTTAGAGGAAGAACTTTTAGTGTGTGCTCCTGAGACACTGCATTAGGGATTTCCTCACTCTTGTAAATAAAGCACCTGTGAGCCTGTGGTACAAGTAGCATCTTCCCTGCCTGTTACTGGAAAGGTGATCACCTGAACCGCACAGCGAGAACTTCCACGTAGGCAGTTACCGCTGATCAGCTGTTGTTCACTGTCACCTTATCAGCAATAACTTATTGATGTGTGGAGCTGCTTGTCCTACCTCCTCAGCTTGTCTTGCTTATTCTGCCAGGACGTGCATTTCTGGCTCGGGGTTAGGGAGCGCAGCCAAAGCAGGATGTAGTGGGTGGATAGGTGGTCAGCAGCTGGGGCTGAATGCTTGTTTGTGGCAGTTGAGGAAGGAGGTGAAGAACTGAGGTTAGTGTTTCGGTGTGGGACACGGGGTCAGTCAGCATCGGATTAGATCTTGAATTTGGAAGGATCTAATTGTCTAGTGGGTTCTGGGGGAAAAGGAGACGTGCACACTTCCCTCTACACGTGCAGCCTTTTACTGGGTGGGAGGGCCACCGCTGCCATTGCTAATGGTGCTTGATCCCACCTCTGATACTAGTGTATCAGCAAACTATGTTTAAGAATCCCTAGGAAACAGCTCTGCGTAGTTGGGGATGTGTGTGTCTGTGTGTGTGCACATGTGTATCCTGACTGCATTCCAGTGAGGAGTCCTCCGTTTCTACAGGAGCAAATTCCAAGGTGAAAAGGTACCAACTCTGAGAGAAGCTGTTGTGGAGTCTATGCATCACAATCTTATAATCTACTTCGATGTCAAAGGCCATGCAAATCAGGTACCGCCTACTGTACTAAGACACCTTCCTTCACCCTTTCTTTGGGTTTCTAACCTGCTTTTTCTGTTGGTCTCAAACTGATGTGTGGTACAGTCCTTTCTCTAATATGAGTGAGACTGGGTCTGCTATTTGTGTCATCCAAAGTTGGGCTGTCAAAGTGAAGACAACACGTCCCCTTGTCCCATTGCATTGTCCCGGGAAGCTGCAATGTAAAGTTAGCATGAGACTTGTGCGCGCGTTGAGCTCAGCTTGCAGCACCATCGTGAAACAAAGCAAAGTGAATTCCCTGCCTGTGCCGAGGGGAGCTAGTATCTCATCTTCAGCCTCGAACTAAGGATCCTGCTTGTCTATAATTTGCATTACTGAAGGGAAATACAGGTGATGAATCATTAACATTTTATGCAAATTAGACTATTTTTTTCTTTAGCGTAGCAAAATATGGAAATAAATTAATTTTTCCCCTTGAACTAAACCCTAGGTAGTACTTCAGAATTTTATCCATACTATACTTAAGGGTATTTCAAACACTGAGAATGCTACTCATTGCAATAAACAGAGTCATGGAAAGGACTTTGGTTGCAAAAAACAAAATGACATTTCTGTGTTAATGGTATAAACAAGACGCTGTCTCTCTTCTCCCCCCTTTCCATTTCAATCTTGTTACACAAAACAGGGAAGTATTTTAAAGGGGATTTTTCTAAAATGACTTTGCTGTGTCAAGTAAATATAAGCTTCTGTATAAAGATAACACGTGTGTATCTCTAATTGGCAGGCAGTTGACGCCCTAAAACAACTCTACCTGGAATTTCCACGTTTGTATAACAGCAGCGTAGTCTGTTCTTTCATGCCAGATGTTGTTTATAAGGTGATGTTTCCTAAAAGTTTATTTTGGATTTTTTTAGTTCTGTCTGGGAATTTCAGTAAGATATACAACTCCCCGTTCCAGATTACTTTTGGGTTGTTAAAATTGACAAGGCTTTTTAAAAAAAATTAAGCATAACTCGTAAGTCTCCTGCATAATCTTATTAGATCACTCTGTGCTCATTAGATGCACATATGAATCTACAAAATCTGAAAGCTATGTAGAAAAAAGTGCGTTGCTCTTACAGTTGGCATAGGGCCAGGTATCTGTGTGCAAGGTCCCTGTTAAATAAACCTCATATTTTGATGCAAATGTAGACTATTCTTAAAACCGTTCCCTAATTCTCACTGCCAAGTCCATTTACTATGTATTTTATTCCATTGCCTGACTGTTATGCAATTTTTTTAACATAAGAGCAGTTGCTTATTCAGTATGTTTTAAAGAAAAAACAGTAAAATATCATAAATGGCTTTCTGAAAGAGTTACAAAAGGATCGGGGCGGGAGGGGGAGAAGGACTCTGGTAGAGCTGCAAATGCAAGCTAGCACTTTGTATCTAATCTCTCCCAATTTATACCGCTTTTGGATGAATTGCAGTCTTTTCTCCTTGATCTTCCAGATGAGGCAAGCTGACGGAAATGTTGTAACAGCACTAACGCACAGGCCTTGGCACCTGAGCCATTTTGGAGATGGGACACCCCGTTTCACTTCCTCCTGGAAACATTATTTGTATATGACGATGGACGTCATTCTAGATTGGAGCCTACACAGTTTCTTGTGGCGATTGTGCGGGGTTTCAGCTTTCCTCATACAGAAAAATTTCGTGTCTCAGTAAGTGTTAAAGCTTGCTAATACATCAGGAGGCAACATCATTCCATTAGTATATAAGGGTGGAGTCAACATAGGATGTGTTAATCAATGCGTTCCATTTAATGTTGTGTAAGGCTGTTTAGATAGTTTCTTTACCACATGCTATTTTGTTATTTTAAGCCTCTATCTTTTCAACCTCTACTTCTATCTTATGTTAGATCCTAAGTTTAATCTCAAAGGGTAAGAAAACTGTTGCTTTTGCCTGTGTACAGTAATAAACCACAAAAAGATGACGCACTATCATTCTTCATGTGATACTGATGCAAGACTAAAACTCAGTTGTGGCCTCCACACTGTCCTCCTTAAATATGGTAGCGTCAGCCTTCCTCTTGTGGTGTCTTTTTTCCTTGCAGAGACTACGTGAGGCACTGGGCTTCAAGAGGAATTCAAGTGGTTGCCTGGACAGTGAACACATTTGCGGAAAAAAGCTACTACGAAAGCGTCCTTGAATCCAGCTACATCACCGACAGCCTGGTGGAAGACTGTGATCCTCACTACTAGACCCGTGCTGTGTAGACACTCACCAACCTAAATCACCCACCTCACTTGGGCAGGTCTGAATTCACCGTCGAGAGGGTTTCCGCTGGTGCGGACGGGACCGCTAACGCTAGCTCTGGGGAAAGGAAGGGCAGGAGTTTACTTCTGCTGTACGGTCAGACCTCGAATGCAGGAAACCCCTCTGTTGCAACACTGGACAAAGCTGAGGCACAGCCAGTCGTAGCCTGAGGCAATCGTGCTGTGACGTGAGAGGATCGGTCTTGCCAAGCTCGCGGGGCAATACGCAGGTTGTTCTAGAATTCTCAGGCTATTCCTTTGCTTTGCTTAAATCTTGGTTATAAAGTCATATCAGCAATTTTTGGTGGCAAAATTTAAAATCATACTTTGATTTTAGTAATTTAAACAGACCGTTCAACAACTGCATAATACTTTGAGGTTGATTTATGGCATCTTAAACATCTACATTACTGTTCTCAAAACAGAACCTGAAAATAACGGTGCCAAAATAGAGGGTGAGTGTATCTCCTTCCTACTGCACGGAAAGATGGCTGTGCTGCATCTTGACAAGGAAAAGAAAGCCAGCTTTCCATGTTCCATGTGAAGACTATAAGAATTAATGAATAAAACTTGAGTATCTTCTTATCTTCCAGACTTTTTAAAAGAACCAAGGGAGGATAGGAGATTGTGTCTTCTAGCGATACGGCACATGAATGTATTTATTTCTAAAAGAAAGCAGTATCTCGAGTGCTGGTAGTGGTAGAACAAATAGAGCTGAAATGTCTTTTTACTTTGCTTATTGTTTGCATGATTGAAGGGCACTCAAATCAAAAGAGTCTGCAGTTACAATAAACAAGTATCTGATAGCTCACGCCTACGGTACTCTGTCAGGTGTGCGGCAGTAGATGGATGTAAAATGTCAAAATTAGCGCAGGTTGCTTGCTATTTTTTCTAACGAGTAAAACGCCCAGGTGGTGTCATCACAGCTACCCTCAATGCGCCGTGAACAATTTTGGCTCTGCTCTCGAAGGAGCTGGGAGTTAGAGAAGACTGTCAATGAGTCGCAAGAGCAGAAAACTACTCCGGAGCCAGCCCTAACATAAATTACACCACCTTTTCTTAAAGGCCAATGCATGGAATTACTAAGTTTAATAATTCATTTCAGAAGAATGTGATACCAATTCCAACAGGGATGAGGAATTGGGACATTTACCTGACCGGTTACCTGCTGCAGGTTATTCAGACGTAATCCCACAAGGCACCTTAGACTGCACGTGTAGCAAAGCGCATGTTTGACTAGAACAGGTAACCACGTTTTAGTAAGGTAGCTCCTCGCCCTACTTCAGCGCTGCTGAATTCCTCGTTTCCTTGTTGGGCGTTGCTGTGTTTCAGCTGGGGTGCTGCGCTGTACGCTGGGTGATCCCTTCACCGCGCGCTGCGGGAAAGCTGCGCTTACCAGCCATGGAGCAGCGGATTGCGTGGAGTGGTGGTGCAGTTTGGTACCTTGCTTCGGATAGAAACATTCCTGGTAATATGCCCCACGGTTAGGCTTAGTTCTCATGCACAGAGACAACTGAGATTTAAAAAAAAAAAAGCTACTATAAAAGAGGCAAAAAGTAATTACAAAAAAAAAAATCAGTCATCAGTGGAAAGAACTACACAATTCTCCCAATTAAGGTAAGTCCAAACTTCTGAAGTAGCAGATTAGTGCTACCTCCTGCAAGGGGTGATGGATGTTTTTGCTTGTAACTTGAACTATACATGAGCACAACCTCCATCTTCTGGTGCATGCCCTACAGCATGTGTACTTTACGCCCTCAGCCCCTTTCTGTCCAGCCATTGCATGAGTGCTGTAGCCTCTGCCTTTACGGCTGTGTTCTACAGCCGCTCCCCGCGTGGCCGTCGAGGAGCAAACGACCCTTCCCGGCGAGTGACCAAAGGCCCGCTCCTTTGTCGCTGCTGTAGCTGCTGCCACCGCTCAGCCACCGCCCTCGGTGCAAATGCTGGGCCCGTGTTCGATGCTCACCGCCAGGCTCCCCTGCCGTACATGCAGAAAACCAGTATAAAACTGAACCTCTGATCTCACGTTGCGTGTAACCTTTGCCCTTTCCTCCGTACCCTTGGTGGCTGTTTTTTGGGTTGTCTTTAACCTAAATTATGAGCATGAGGGAAAGATGTGCCTCTTCCCTAAGGCATTTTTATGTCCAAAGCAACAAGGGAGGAATAAACCAGGCAGTAGTAGAAAATGGGCTAAAAAAAAGTGATCATGGCAAAGTTGTGGCTCTGAATAAAAAGCAGCTGCACCAAGTGTCTCAAAGTCAGATATGATTAAAAAAAAAAAAATCTCAATTGTATTACTTCCAATCTATCCTTTACTGGGAAAAGATATGTCATAAACTTTTTGTTTACAAGCAGTGGTTTTACATGGATGAGAATTTTGATAAGCAGTCACTCTTAAAAAAAGAATTCTGATAACTTTTGACATCAAAGCTGGTTTTGAGTGACTCTAATAACGGTAAAAAATGGCTCAGAAAAGTGAAAGTGGAATAGAAGCTTAACCTGGTTCACACAAGTTACTTTGCAGCCATTACAATCTCTCCGTCATTAAAAACAACTGCACTTTAATTTCCTTCTATTTTTATTTGACTAATGCTTCACTTTGGGTTTAGATCAGATAAAACCAGTTTGAACAATATAACAGATATAAAAATATTTTTAGACCGAAGTTTGTATTTACAATTAGGCGCAAGTT